TGTGTGTGTGTGTGTGTGTGTGTGTGTGTGTGTGTGTGTGTGTGTATTAATGATGCTGTAGTAAGTAAACTACATAAAATATATTGTTATCCAGTTGCTCCTTTAAGTCCTGTACTGTTCGTTTGTAGCTCAGGTTCACATTAATAGCCTATTCAAATTACTTGTGTACCTGCTGTAATTGATTAACATGACTACTAGTTGGCTTTGAACCAACATACATGCCTTTGTATATAGTAGAGAGTGTCTAAAATCCATTTTTTAAAATGATTTTATTTATACTTCACAAACACCTCGATGTTGAACATGTTCAGCTTACCTGCGCTTCAGACGCTTTTGAGGAAGTGCTCTGAAAAGAAAGAAACATTTTTAGGACATCCCACAGAGTTGAGTCTGTTCATCTGCACGTAGCGTTTTTAGTGGGAGAAACGTTGTAGATAGAAAACACTACGTCCAGATGAACAGACTCAACTCTGTGGGGTATCCTTACCTGGACGATTTAGCATGCATCAAGACACTTTTTCAAGAGAATCTTCGTGTGCTTGAGCTGATTTCAGGCGGATACATTTCATCACGGAAGCACTGCCACTATGACGGTCTTTTATTCCATCTCATATACATGAACAGGAGTCCAAACAAATAATATCTGCTGCCATAAGCAGCAGCTACAACATTTGTTTTGGGATTTCATGCACGAGGACAACCTTGACATAAATTGGCTAGGTGCTGACGGTTATATTCAACTATGAAACCAGAGTCCAGCAGCAGCCTCTGCAGTTACTGAGCCTTCACCTCTAATTAAAATCAGCCAGCCTGTGTGCTGATTAGCACACTTGTGTGCCATATATCTCTGGTAAGATGACCACTTTGTTATTTTAGGCACATTGTTCCTCTTTCAGGATTCATTTTCAGACTTTTATGGGGTGCCATAAAGTTACCCTTGTTTTCTCATGTCAGTGACGAGTGCAAGTCTAGAAGAGCTGTGCAGGATTCAAATAATATCATAGCTAATGTTTAGTGGTGTGTGGTGCACTTGAAGACAGAAAATGTGGTCCACTGAGTTGCATTTGCACAACAGCAGGAAATTACTTTTTCCTGTATTAAAACTGTATTGTGACAAGTTCCATTTTTAAAAAAAATAAAAATAAATTAAAAAAAAAAAAAAACAGGGTCATGTGGAGAGCAACACTAACAACTTATTATTCATTTTATGAATTTATCAGTTGCTCAGTAAAATGCAATCTGCATATATGCAAGTAACAGAAAAATGCATCTGTACTTTAACCAAAAGCTGACCTCTCTGACCAGCCTGCACAACAGATAATGTTTTTCGCCTTACAAGGAACACAAAACGCGTTTTCTCTGTATCAGGTTGTTGAATCCTATCTGCTAAAATCATGAGTTGGTGCCACCTGCTGGAAGAATGGTAAAGCACATGGACACAAACAACCTCACAGACCTACTTGCAGAAATTCTCACATACACATAGCTGTGCAGGCAAAAACCTTAAACACACAAGTGTCATTTTAAATAGGTAATATTTACCCATGTATTTGACTGCAGTAAAACACCGATCTGCAGCACTGTGCCATTGTGCATTCAGACATGCATGCATGCAAACAAAAAGGTCACTGGCATTGTCACACACTCACCGATAGATGTTGGGATCTAATAGCATGGCTGTGTCCTGTGGCAACTGGGATAAGTGCACCACTTTAGTCTTCAGCTGAGATCGCTCTGTTTCATTCACCCACACGTCAGGCAGTCTGCGAGACAGCACACACATGCAGAAAGAGGACATGTGGTCAGATTTCAAGGTTACAAGACGAAGATGAGGATACCGAGGACGGAGTGGGAGTAGGGTCGAACGCAGCAGGGTGGGAAAGATGTAGCCTCAGTGAGTCAAATGAACACGTTAACACCTATCTCTGAAGACTAGGTATGTTTCTATAAGTAACCAAACCACAGAAACAGACATACGTGCACAAGTGACCAGACTAGCACACACAAAGGGTGGAAAAAGTGTACTTTCCTCTCATTTGCATGATCAGATCGTATGTGTCAGTGATTTCTTTTGCAAATTTTACTACAAAATGGAAAAACTGGCTTAGAAGTACAATGAGAACAGACTGATTATATTCCCCCTTAAAATTCAATTAGAGAGTGTGTTATATTAAATGCTGAACTGAGCAGTAGCACCTTACTGCACCCACAGTATGGGAGTGTGCCGAGTAATGGCGTGGCAAGTTGAGGTGCAAAAGAAAGAAACAAAGAGCTTAGCAAGTCTGCTGCGCTTCCCCTCCTTCCTACAGCCCCCACCTCCCCGTCTCCACCCCCAGCGTTCCCCCGTCACTATGTGCGTCATCACAGGAGCCCCCAGAGACACACACACACACACACACACACACACACACACACACACACACACACACACACCAGGCGGCTGCTAGGCAAGCATGCAGTCACCAAGCCAAATCAGTCATTCACATGCCTAGTCAGCCCATTCAGCATTATGGTGTGCAGGTATCGCTTCAGATGTTGCAGAGTTGAAGGTAGAGGTGAAGAACTAAAGAGAGAAAATATATTGCAAAACTGACAAATGAAGGACAGGAAAGTATGGAAGGAGGGAAAGCAAAATGAAGTGGCAGTGGAGGCAGGGATGGCACACATTGAAGTAAAATGATTCACTTCAGTGGTTGCAAAAACCCTTTTATGGTATGTTTAAGTGCCTGGAAGGTGCTGCTAGCTGCATAATGTATATATATATGCTTTTGCTCAAGTGTGTGGTTGCAAAGGACTACAAAATACCCCAAATCATGCAAAAACATAGCTTGCTCATGCAAATGCTGTTCCAATCATTGTTAGATAAGGGCATATGCTGTCTGTTTGGTTGTTGTTCTTTTTTAAGTTTGAAAAAAGTAAAGAAGTGTGATGCTAAGTTGTTTTCCTTTTTGATTCTGCAGTGCACAAAGTCCCTCTATCCCCTTTAATGGTGGGGAGAGAAGAAAGAGGAAGCTGAGAAGAGGCAGAGATACAACAAGAAACAGCCCCCTTCAAAGCAGCTTTACAGTTTGGATTACTCTTGAGTTAGTGTCGTTCTCCAAAGCAAACCTCAAATGACAGAGGTGGACCTGCGGAGTGTTAAAAATGCAGTAAACACCTGTGTGTGTGTGTGCTCGTACTTACACATGTAAACATCTCACAGTAAGTGCGCTGTGGTACTGATGACTTATTATATCCTTGTGTCTGGGAAATGCATAAGAAGGCTGCACTGGGGGGAGTGGGGGCAGCATGTTGCACGTGTCGAAAATACACACACACAAACACTCCCAAAGTGCTCATATCATTCACAAACACACGTGCACATTTTCAAAGCCCTAAAAGATCGAAAACCCCCATTCAGTCACATAAACCAAATAAAGACAAATGGATTTGTTTTATTTTCAGGAGGAGAATTGGGAAGGTTATTTGCCTCGCGTCTTTATGAGCCAGAAATGTATATTGTGCGGGAGGCCCTCTGTTGAGAAAGCTACTGGGGAACGCCTGCCAGAGTGAAGCTCGTCTTCAACCCTGAATTGATGGCTGGCTCCAGGCCTTGAAGCTCCCAGTGGTGACAGAAGCAAAAGGTTTATCATAAACCACTAAAGAGTATAATCAGATTGGTAAAATATTAAATGGCTTTATATGAAGTGTCCTGATAAACTACAAAGAACAGGAGGCTCAGAAAGCCAGTTCATTGACTATAAAACTCACTGCAGCCTAAAGAGAGGCTACACCCCATCGGCACCCCAACTTCCTATTACGATTTTACACCACAATACTTTAGGAATGGTTCTATTTAAAATACAATATACTTTTATATATATTCTTAAAAACGAATTCAAACTTCTGAAATTCTGAGATTTTAGATGCGTTTTGTCTTCCCAGAGATCACGTTACTCCTTGCTTAGTCAGGTTTACACCACAGATTCAAACCCAAGACCTAGTTGGTAAAAATAGCAACAGTGCTAACCAAAATCAGTTTAACAATTAAAAAAAAAAAATGTAATCAACATGATAAATGCTCAAAGAATAACCTCCTCCTTCACTCTATTATGCTTACTGCCAAGGAGTCAAGTCACACCTACTCTACTCTCAGCCAGGAAAAACCCATTCATAGTAAATAGAGCATAGGTTACATCAAATGGACATTCACACTAATTTTTCCTAAAATAAAAATAAATTTATTCTCTTTCAAAACTTACATTTTAACTACTGATTTTATCTATTGTTCTGATTTTATCTGTTTTGATTTTATATACTGTTTTTTTTTTGTTAATTAGTTTGTTTGCTTGTTTTAATCAATTTTAAATCATTCTTTTTATCTCTTTTTGTTTCTAATGTCTCTGTAAAGCACTTTGAATCACCTTGTTGTTGAATTGTGCTATACAAATAAACTTGCCTTGCCTTTTTTTTTTTTGAGAGGAGGGGGGGGGCTTACATACATGTCTACTACAGACAGAATGCGTGGAAGGAAGTGGATGTTCTTGACACGGTCTTTTTCTTCCTATCAGATCAAATTAGCAGCTCTTGAGTTTCACAAGCAAACTTAGAAATAGCAGTGATGCAGGTTTATGCATTAATTCTCTTGCCTCGTGTCAAAATTTATGGTGCAGAAGTAACTGGTCAGAGACCCACCAGACAATCCCCCCAGTGCGCTTTCAAAATGTAGTCAGACATCATAGATCAAAGCTACATCGATCTTTAGTACATTTAGAGACAATTCTGCATGCTTACTCTTGCAAACTTGTGACAAAGTTCCCCGGGGCAGACTGAAAACAGAGCAGGGAAAAAAAAAAGAAAATCTAATTTTACACCTTTTTTTCTTTTCTACACAGTGAATACCCCCCGCCCTTTTTTTTTTCCTTTTTATAAAACTGTTTCTGCTTAAGTGACTAGAATAAATATTAAAGGTGCTTCTTTTGGAAACTGTTGCTTTTTTGTTAGATCTCCACTAGCTTGTATGGCAGCTGCCTAAAAGTAAACAAAGCAATAAAAAAAATTAGAATTTGGGGGAAAAAACATAACAAACATTTAAGAGATAAATCCATGTTGGGAAATATAAGCTCCGTCTAGTTTTTTCATAACTATGTGCAGGACAGATTCGGTGGCTGGAGGTGTTCATTGTTAGTGACTGTGTATTCTAGTGTTAGTTATTCAAAAGCAATCAACAGCATGCAGGGGATCCACTCACCCATCCATCAAAGATTAGACTCCAATTATGGTTCTCTCGCTCTCTCTCCCAGCCCTCCCATCCCCCTTTTCCTCCTCAGTGAACTGCTGGTAAATCTCAGTTCATAATGGCTCATGTTAATCAGTTACTCATTAATCCAAATGGAGTTAATGAGTGTCAGTCACACAGTGAATGGTTAGCTTGAGCATTAATAAACATGACTTCCCACATTCACACAGCTAATCATTGACTCAGTGGCTGAGAAACATATGTGCACACATGCACATTGCAGCCTGTATGCTTACATTCTTCCTTATCCTTAGGGTATTCTACCAAATTACACATTTAGAGCCGCCTCAGATGTGTGTAGGACAAATGATGATGGAGTGACTTTCGACACTTTGTCTGCTTTATCATCATTTACAGTTCCTCACAAACTAGGCAGTGTGTGCTGTGACTTTTTTAAACGTATTCTACATATGATTTTCATCCTATAAGTGATGTCATCACTTACAGTCTAATTCCTTGCACTATCCCACAGATGTGATAACATGTTTTTCACTCATTGTTGAGTGTTTCTCATTTCGGGCTGATCTGCTGCTCTTTTCTCTCTACCAGGTTTCTTTTTCTTTTGGTCTATTAGTCTGTATTTCATATTACCTTAGTGTCAAAACTCCCCCCGAGACCCACAATGAGCCTGTCAGTGGAAAAGATATCAGGCACCTCCGTCAGTTCACTTTGTTTTAACCTCATTGTCACTCCCATGGAAACACTTTGCGCCTTTTCTGACTTCCAACTTGTCTTCTCTTCCAGTTTTTAGCTGGGAGAAAGCATACTTCGTTCTTACAACATCCTCACCACTTTCTCCACTTCTCCTCAAGGTAAATATGCTTTCTTAAAAAGAGAAATAAGGCCAGACTGACTTAAAATTATTCTGAACTCACAAACATATGTGTGGCGGTAAGACTACAGTGGTCAGTGTGCAAGTCTAATAAATCCAAGGGTAGTTTTTCATGAGCATTCATTTCTTGTGCAGGGTAAGAACATTTCTATGCATGTATTAGTGAACGAGGCCAAATGAGATCAAGTGTTCTTTTCTTACTTCTCTTGCTAGTTAACGAGACCTGGCACAGGTTCTTGGCTATGGATGAAAAGCTTCTTGTCTGAAATCATAGATTTATTGTTTTACAAACCGGTAAATGTGCCCCGAAAATCAATGTAAACTAAAAAAATGTGCCTCTGTAAGAAGAAAGCCTGACAGACTAAAGAACTTTATCCAACAAGAGGTGGCAAAATAGTCACCTCTAAACTTAATAGAAAAGACAGCCTAGCAAATGTTGTACAAGCAAACTTAGTTCGGTCCCCTGGTCAACTTTCATCTGTTAAGAGGTACTCAAGCCACCCTCACAACCACGCGGCTTAAGACATTACTGTAACCCCCCTCCGTAATGGGATAATTATCCATATTAATGACCCAAGCACTCCTCTGGCCCAAGGCAAATGTATGACTCAGTACTACCACTGCCTTCTTCTGCATGAACCAAGGCGTCTCATTCTTGCCTTCCATCTTTCTGTTAAATCCCCTCCCTATCATTCATTCCCTCTGATTTCATTCTGCCTCTTCCTCACATTTCTCACTCCCACAGCCATTTTGCTCCCACTCCTATTTCTCACTTTCCTCCTATCTCTGTCCCTCCTATTCTTTTCCTCATCTATTCTGCCTGCATCTGTCTTTGGGGTCTCAGCATCAATCTCAATCTTTGTCTCTCTGTTTGGAATTAATTTGAGAAATGTTTCCTAATCACCAAACTTCATCTCTCTCTTCCTTTCCCCACTCCCTTATTATTTCTCCCCACATTAGATTAAACTCCCACATGCATGGAAAGCAGAAGGTTGTAGAGGTGGATCGGAGATGGGAAAAGGAAAGAAGAGGAGGATGGACTGCAGAAACATCAGAGAATAAAGATTTTTCTACAGTCTGTTCAATGGAAGCTTTTAGCAGACAGCTGGATTTGCAAACTCGTGCCAGTACTCCCGTCTTTGCCAGGTCCCTTTGTTTTCAAACTATTTCTTTGCCACCACTGACCTTGTTCTCGCTCCCCTTCCTTCTCTGTTTCTAGTTCTTTCCCGCTTATCTCTCGTCATCCTTGTTCTCTTTCTCAGTCGGCACTCTGATCATTTTCAGATGCCTTTCAGTCAAAACCTTTAATAGGAGTGTGGGAGAGTTGGGAGTTTGGTTGGATCTACCCGTGAGCAAAAGCCCTACTGACAATCACAGAGTTCTGTGAAGCTCTCTCTCTTTTTGCTTCCAATGTTCACCTCCAGTGGACTGAGCCCAGGAAGGCTAAGCTGGCAAAAGGCATTTAAACGGGTGATGACTGTGCAGAACGGTCCAAGTCTCAGTGGGCTTAGTACAAGTTTATCCATTCATTCAGCCAAGTAAGGAAGATTTATAACAAGCCCCGACATGAAGGAAGCCCAGATCGCTGCATGTGCAGCTGGATGACACATACTCGTACAAACTGCTACAGCTCAAAGAGGTAAATTTTGTACAAGTGGTTCAGTCTTTGGATTGTTACAGATGTGGAGGTTTGTACAAGAGGTGTTGAGCTGCCTTGTTGTACACTGGTTACATTTACATATTATGGCTTACAAATATTAGTATAAATTATTATTATTGTGTGGCCATGGCTGAGGTGGTAAAGTATGCTGCAAACCTGCCCTTGGACAAGACACCAAATCAGATGGTAGGTGAGCATGGCTGCGCTGCCACCATTAGTGTGCAAGTGTGCGAATGAGAAACAAGGATAAATGGGACTATATCAGTGCAGACCATTACCCCCAAGCACCTTGTAACTTGAGTTTTGCAAGGTCCTATAGAAATAAAGTATATTACTTTTTAACATTCCACATTAATTATTAACAAATGTCAGAGTGCACGTCTTCTCCTTCTCAGTGGGGTTAAACTAGTGAATTAGTTCATCTCGTAGTCAGACCCAGAAGTATTTGCACAACAAGGTTACTACAACAACTTAAAGACTGTCCCGTTTACAAGGCAGACATGCAAGTGTCAGGTTCAGTTTCAGTTCAAAACCCAAGATGGTTCATACAGACGCCCCTGAAGCATGAATAGTCTCACAATTTAGAAGTCAGAGGAGGCCTGCCAAAACATCTTTAAAACATGCTGGCACTTATTTTTTGGCTTATACACAGTCTATCAAAAACAAGCATCCCATTTCAAAAGGATATATTTTTGAAAGTAATGGACATAGAAGCCTGCAGTAAATTTTAAAATACATATCTAAATATAAAGCTTACAAAATGTGTCTCCCTCCAGACTCGTGGCATATATCCATACGATAGTCAAACCCATCCCTGGAGACACTGCAGTCGTTATACTACATACTGGCAACCACATGAAATTCACAAATCCCTCCTTTCTAACGGTATGTGTTTCGATCATTGCCAGTGAACAGCTAAGGAACTAAAGCACTATGAAATCGAAAGCTTACACCCTGTATATTATTTAATATAAGGCAAATTAGAGCTGGGCGATAT